AATATTTTTTTTTTAATATTCAACATCTTTAGCCATCTTGGAAATACAATTAAACTACTTTGAGAATTCATTTTACCCCAGTCAGAATGGGAAGATCCAAAAACCAAACAACGACAAAGCAGGCAAGATGTGGGGTAAAGGGAACACTTATTCACGACTGGTAGCAGTGCAAACTGGTACAGCCATGATGGAAACCAGTGTAAAGATTCTTCAAAAACTAGAAATATATCTACCCCATGATCTAGCCATATCACTCTTGGGCTATACCCAAAGGACTCTGTATCCTGTTACAAAGATAACTGCTCATCCATGTGCATTGCTGCTCTATTTACAATGCCCAGGAAATGGAAACGATGTAGACGTCCATCAACCGACATGGAGAATGAAAATGTAATACATTTACACAATGGAATATTATCTTCACCTGTTAAGAAAAATATTATTAAATTCATAGGTAAATGAGTGAACTGGAAACAATCATCATAAGTGAGGCAACCCAGACCCAGAAACAAAAACATTGTATGTTCTCTCTCATAAGTAGATGCTAGCTTTGAATCCTTATATGTATGTGTTTCAACTGGAAAATCCGTAGCAGTCAGGAAATTAGTAAGGGGCTATATGTGGGGGGCTTCAAGTGAGGAGAAACAGGATGCAGTGATACCAGGGAAGAGTGGAGTCATGAAATAGAAAGGACTTGGGAATAGGAGGGCAGGGTAGAGGATGGGTTTGAGTAAGAGGATGACCTTCTGAATAGGCCATATGAAAACCTACTACTATAGAAGCTTCTTAAAACACACACACACACAGAGAGAGAGAGAGAGAGAGAGACATATATAATGTTGGGACAATGCCCTACCAGATACCACAGGTAGACAATAAAAAGACCAATGCCAGGAATGGATCCCCTCTTTTGGAGTTGTTGACCAAGGGGTCCCATAGACCCTCAGCAATGCTGACTATTGATATTGCTTTTGTTATATCCCAGACCTTGATGCTAAGACCCCATTGCTGAAGATACTACATACATGAGTCCTAGAACAAACAAGGAGAAATCAAGCTGATACTGCCTCAAAGTTTCATCTCTACCGGCTAGCTTTCATAGTCCCGGAAGGTGCTATGCACACTACTGGAGAAGAAAATTAATCATCAACCTTACCCAGCTATGAACCCTGTGAGCTACAGTAATGCCTAGCCTGGGAAGATATCCCCACTGGTACAATGGTGGCATGAATGTTATGGGAGTAACCAACCGTGTTCTAATTGGATTTAAAGCCCACTTCACAAGATGTACCCTATACTTGGCACTATTATCAGGGTCAAGAACCTATGGCTAGACAGGCCACAGGTCCTAGGGGAAAACCTCCTACTATTCTGTTAAATGGACATAGTATTAAACCAACTCCTTATGACTTATTGTTGACTCACAGGTTAGTAAATCTCTCAACTCTCAACCAGAGAAGGTTATTCTAGCAACCGACAATGATAACACAGAGACCTATAACTGGTCTGCTTGCAGAGAATAAGAGACTGAGGACTGCTCAGCACTAAATGGAACACCCATCTCATACCATCTCCCCCCAAGCCTTGGGAATCATTGCAGAAGAGGGGGCAGAACGATTGTAGGAGTCAGAGGGAGTGGATAAATACAAGGATGACATATTTTCCAGAACACACCAGGGCCTTTGCACATATGGGCCTACAGCACTTGTGACAGCATGCACTGAGCCTGGGCAAGCCTAAGTCAGACAAAAACCCAGCAAAAACAGGGGAGGTGGACAAGAAGCCCCAGCTGGAGCTGATGAACTATTTGCAATCGATAGCTGCTGGGAAAGGGAGAGTCAGTTTTCTTCCAGGGGGTGACACCTGGTAGGATAACCAGGCTCCGGGGGATGAACCCACATTCAAGAGCATTTGAGAAAAACAAGTTAGAGTTGATAGGCCTTTAAAACATTAATAGAGGGCTTGAAGTCTGATGGGGGGAGAATATTAAGGTAAGAGTGGAAATGAGGGAGAGGTTCTGCATATGATCAAAATACATTGTATGAAATACTCAAAGAATCAATTAAAAACAACTGAAATAAAAAACTACACTGAGATTCTATCTCACCCCAATCAGAATAGTGATCTTTAAGTGGAAAAAATAAAATTTAAAAAACCCAGCAGCAAATGCTGGCAAGGATCTGTGGGGAGATGGTATCTTAAACACTGCTGGTGGAAATATAAATTAGATCCTCAAAAAAACTAAACTACCTACTACTGGAAACAGATCTACCTATGATCCAGCCATAGCCCTCCTGGGAATATACTAGAAGGAGTGTGAATCAGAATATTGCAGAGATACCTGCTGTATTCACTGTGGCTCTATCCCCAGCAGTCAAGATATGGAACCATCTTAAATATCCTCTGATGACTGGATATTGAAAATGTGGCATACACGGAGAATGGAGGCTTATTCTGACACAAAGAAGGACAAAGTTATATCATTTGTAGGAAAATGGATGGAATTGGATGTAATATTAAGCAAAACAAACCAAGCTTAGAAAGACAAATGTCACATATTTTCTTTCAAAGTCTGACTCTAGATAAGAAGACTATTTGGGAAGAGGACGGAGTAGGGAGGACAGCAGACGGTGATGGGGTGGAGTGTGCTACAAGTACACGATATTCTTCAAAGGACATGCCATGATGAAGCCCATGACTTTTACTGTGAATGCATGTTAATAAAAATTTTAAATGAATTATATGGGAGAGTACACAGGTTACATGCAAACTCGGAAGCACTCTACACAAGGACATGAACGTCCTCGAACTTTCAGACCCTCAGGCTTTGTAACCAATATCCAATAGAAACAGGGGGCTAGCTATATTTTGGATATTTGGTTTGAAAGTTATATTATTAAAGTCAATGTATTACTTTCTAGATGTTTAGTCTAAAACTGCATTATGTGACTTGCACTACATTTCCATTTTCAGTGCAGGCATAGACAAACGTAGTTATGGTGACTACCTACTGCTTATATCTCCTGTGTGCTGGATACCTTTACATCAATTATTCATAATCTTCCTTAAAGGAAGTATTATAGATGACGAATTTAGAGTTCAAATTTTACATTCATTCATTGTCACACACCTTTCTAGTTTATTTTTTATGTACCAAGGGTTATTGAACGCAGTGGAGCACAGCAAAATAAAGAGGCCACCTCGTGGGACTTATGTTCCAGGAAGAAAGAAAGTTAGTGAGTACAAAAAACATGCCAGGCAATGATAGCGGTGTGTGTGTGCGTGTGTGTGTGTGTGTGCGTGTGTGTGTGTGTGTGTGTGTGTGCGTGTATGTGCCATCTGAGTAGAAGGCTGAGTGAAGCCAGGAAGTGAGTCCTGGGAATACTTGCCTGGCTCTGAGCTTCTATACAGAGGCCCCAAGAGAAGGATAAGAGCTCTGTGTGCCCCTGCAGTCAAAAACTAGTTAACACAGACAACGTGGAAGCCTCACATAGGAAAAGTTTAAGCATGAAATGAAGGCTTTGTCATGAACTACAGACTACTGGGGGACAAGCATGGAACCCTGTAAGAGTGAAGGCTGGGGGCTGGAGAGATGGCTCAGCGCTTGAGAGCACTGACTGCTCTTGCAGAGGACCCGGGTTTGATTCCCAGCACCCACATGGCGGCTACAAACCATCCTTAACTCCCGTTCCAGGGGAATCCGAAGCTCTCTTCTGACCTCCGCAGCATTGCATGGCATGGGTGCACTCACACACACACAGGCAATACACCCATACACATTTAAAAAAAGAGCAAAGTCTTAAGATCATCAGTTGGGAGCCTCTTACAGGTGTGCGCGGCAGTTTACCATAGGAAAGCGGAGTTTCACCCAGGTTCTTCTGGTTCTTGTAATGAAAAGTAAAGCAATCTAAATGTTATCCTGGAAAACTGATAGAAGAGTAATTAATCTCTGTGCTTTGCTTTCTGCCAATTCAACCTAAGGGAAGAGGGCTTAAGATCTATCATTGGCAGAGGGGGTTTACAGGGCCTTTAAGTAAATTCAGATAAGGTAATTAGCTTTATTTTGCCAAATAAAAGTGTTCAGTTGAGCCAGATGACAGTTCTGTAGCCTAAACTGTTAGTCCTGGCTTCTTGGGCCTCCTGAATTCTCTGTCCTAACTGTTCATTCAGAGTTTAAGTGTAGCTGCAAAAGCAAGACAGGATTAAGGAAAAAACTAAAAAAGGTATTTTACACAAATAAAAGTAATATATTTTATGTATGTATGTATGTATGTATGTATGTATGTATGTATGTATGTAAGGATGTAAGGATAAAAGCCAGGGAGTCTGTTTTTAAAGACTGGACAGAAGCACTTTAAACAAGAAAATGTTCTCAAGGCCAAATGTTGGGTAGGCCAAATTCCTTTTCTGAGAAGTAAATGAAGATTTGAATCAGTTACCCAGTTTCAAATGAAAATAAGTGCAAATTAGCCACCAGGGACCCCTCTCCAAAAGTCACGTTCTGAGAAAATGGAGGTTCAATCCTGACCATCCAGGTTCATTTGTGTATTTGATGGAGCCCACACTGAAAAACTGTGCACTTCCTTAAGAGGCTATGCCCATATCGATGTGTCTTCAGGCATTGGATGGAGATCCTGTCAGTCAGGCACTTTCCCAGAGCACCAAAGATGCACAGATCACACACTTCAAAGGAAGGCTGCAATCGCTGCAGCTGAGATTTACACAAATCTGTGCTGCAAGTAATTGGACGGACCAGGAGACCCGGGACCTTGTGCTGCATTCATCTTCATGTGGCTCAGTTGGCTCTGCCACTGCCTTTGGGCAAGAAGGTTGTAGCTTTGGCTTCTAGCCTCAAACCAGGGATTAGGGGCTTGCCCAATGCTGACAGAGCCCAGGGAGCCCCAGAATACAGTGAAGGCTGATCCTCCTATGGGGCACATTGCAAATGTGCCTCACCATCTCCAATGAGGAATAGTTACAATAGGAAGTAAATCTCTTACCTACGTCTCCTTCAGGGTTTCTTTCAAAAACAAACAAACAAACAAAGAAACAAAAAAACAAAAAAACCAGATCCAGCCCAGCTTTCTCTTGAGTGTTTTTAGGGCATCTTCATTGCCCCCAGAGACAAGATCCAGCTCTCAGTGGTTTAATCGTATTCCTTCTCTGGCCAAGACTGCCAGACTGTATCTGTAAAGAAAAGTGAAAGGAAAAGCTGATGCTGACCAGTGAACTAGATCCACTTCCAGCCCTGATATTTGGGGAAAGGTTGGTTACAAACAGAAATTGCTTCCTAAGTGCCCACCCACACTGCGACGGATACCTTACAGCAGTATTCAGAAGCTAGCTGGAGGAGGCCACAGAATGAGATGGAGCATCTCAGAGGATTCTGTACCCTGGCATTCTTGGGCCAGGGCAAAGGAAACAGAAACAGTCTTTCACAAACCACACATTCATCAGCCTCTACACAGGTTACTTTGAAATGTTTATACTGGGTGACTGAACCCAGAAAAGGACTCCATTGGTGGGGTTACTTTAGGTTGGGAAGAATTGCTCATGAAGTACACTGAGGTAACTGTAGGAGAGCTACGCCTGACCTGTCATTTCACAGTCCAAGTTGCGAACTTTACTACACTGTAAACTTGGTTGCCTCCACCTAAGATATGCAATCACATCCTATTCTCAAATACAGATTCTGGTGAGATTCACCTCCCCCCTGCCCCCAGCATCTCCTGCACACTTCTCTGTACCCTCCTCCTGCTGCATTCTCACTGTTCTTGGAAGTACTCAATCCACATATATGTCATCCCTACATACATGTTTATCTTCCGTGGCAACAGATCCTTTTTAAAGAATCATCTTTGCTTAGTGGACCAACATTTTACCTTATCACGTACATTCACACACATTATCTCATCGAATGGTAGTATACTATACATCCATTTGCAGAGAAAATGAAGTCTGATGAGAGGTTAAATGGCCTATCTAACATCACCCATTACAGGAGATGGCACAGCAGAAGCCAGCTAGCTCCAGTCAGGATGCCTGATTCTGCATCACACTATTGGAAAGTCGGCTCTGTACAGACATCACTTAAGAAGTGCATCAGAGGAGAAACCTTACAGGTTTTCATCATAGAAACATTTCTGAGGAATCCCTGCCTGAAAAACATGAGCAGACCCATCAACAAGATGACTTCAAATCACAGAGACCAACTGTGAACGAGAGTGCACTGATTAAAAATGGTATTAGTATCGGCTTTTCAGACTCTAATTTCTGTGGAAGAAAACTATACAGCATACTGTTACTGTGGGGAGGGCAGTGGGGGGGATACGGTGTACAAGAAGTAAGCACACACAAAATGTGGCCACAGCAGAAAGTGAGACGCATACTGTAATAAGACAATATTTATGGCTAAAGAAATTCGGCTTCACATAACAGTAATTATGAACAAGATATTTTCCTAATAAAATTACTGCAAAACAAAATCTGGGGACTCTAAGTGTTTCCCTATGTTGTCTTTTTTCCCCCCATGTGCTCCAGAGTGATTGCGGGGAAGAAAAAAGAAAGAGCAGGAGGAACAGAGGGAAAGAGCGCCATGGCGAGATGGCCTCTGCGGAGGGTTGGTTTTGCTTTAAAAACTGGACTGTGTCCAGGCTTGATTTTTATTTTCAATTCACATTTCAGATCCAGCTCCCCAAACTCTTTGATCTTTCTCCTGTCTCCTTACCCGGAAGAGAACCCTTGGCCTTCTCAGCTGGGAGCTGGGAGCACACGTGGAAAGACTGGCTGGGATCCATATTCTTGCCAAATTTAGTCACACAAAGGGACCTGCAAGGGAAAAAAGAAAGGATGAAAGCCGCAGCCGCCGCGACTTCAAAGGCCGCGCCGCCGAGCCGGGCCCTGTACAGGCGCCGCCCTCCGCCGATATAAGGCTAGACCGGCGCGCACCGGCGGCCTCTCCCCGCGCGTCCGGGGTGGTGGGCGGACGGAGGGGGCTGGAGGGCCCGCAGAGAAGGGGGGATGGGATGTCGAGGCCGGAGCCGCGGTCAAGTTAAAGCGCAAAAGTTCTCAGGAAAAGAACGTGATGCCCGGCCTCCTAGACAGCTGTCCCCAGGCCCGCATACTCGCAGCGCCCACGTCCACGCGGGGCACCCCCGGGCCGGCCCCTCGGTGCGGGGCCTCGGCTTCCCGCTGCCGAGCCAAACTCGGAAGGCTCGCGGCGCTGCCCTTTCTGCTCCCCCCCGCCCAGCCCACCTTGCGTCTCCCCATCGTCTGGGTCCTCAGCCACCCTCAGTTCCGCGCTCCCCCTGGGGTCGTCAGATCCCCTGGAGCACGGTGAGGTGGAACTCCCTCGGCGGGGCGGGAGGAACGGCTCCCGCCGGACGCGCCTCGAGCCTCCACCCTGCGGGGAGCGGTCACGGGCTGGACGGCGCGTCCGGTCGCGGGGACGCTGCGGGGTTGAGCAGGTCTGGCCTCCCGGGCTCCCTGGTCAACGCTCGGGGCTGCAGACGCCGACAGGCGCCAAGGAAACCGGGCGTCTGCAGGCGCCGGATTTGGGAAGGACGTTTTCACGGTCCCACGAGTTCGCTGTAACCCTGGAGGAAGGGGGTTTGGGGTGTTTGTCTAGGGAGGCAGAAGGCCCCATGGGACACAAACTGCCACTTCCCTTGCCCCCGTCCCTATTCCCCCTCGGCGACGTCGGTTTAACAGAAGGTGCGCACAGCCTGTCTCCTGCCTAAGCTGGCTTGGGAAGTTGAGGGGGCCTCAGTTCCGCCCCTGGAATCTCCTGAATTCGTTTTTTCTAGTCTCTCAGCTCCTGTGCCTTGGAGCATCCTCCTCCGTAGGCCCTGTCACCTCCTTCCTTTAGGATCCCACCTAGGTTGCAGCTGGCAGAGTCTAGGCCACACAAAGGGAAAACCCGGGACCTGGGCTGGGGTTAGAGCCGTGGGGGCGCAGAAGGCCGTCAGGGGCACTGTGCGTCTGGTCCTGTAATTAAGGACTTGTTGGACAGTCTGCAACCCACCCATCTGGCTGCCAAATAGCCGGCGGGGAGGGTCTGCCGGCGTGGGCGTGCGCCATCCTCTGGATTCCCTGACCCCTGCGGGCCACTGGGTCCGCTCAACCCCGGGGACCGGGGGCCGCTCAGCTCCCCGAGCCTCAGTTCCGGTGGGGCACCGGCGTCTCGACCCCCGAACGCTGCGCGGGCGACAGCGCGGGGTGCAGAAGGAAGTGTTGATATAAAACAAGTTCTCTCCCAAACTCAACCCAAACCAACCGAAGCCATCGGGAGGGGAAAAACCAACAGCAAGGCAGCCAGCCCCTAGCAATTGTTTCACTGTCGGAATTAAATCACATCAAAACGCCCCCTGAAACCCACATCCTGAAGGAGTGAACCTACAACAGCCAGCCTCCAGTGGTTCGCTCGAGTTCACACGAACGACCTGCCTCTACATCCGAGGGACGGGGGCGGCGGGCGACGGAGCTCCTCCTGCGCCGCACCCACCACATCCCAGACCGAGGATCCCACTTCTATCCAAGAGGCCGAGAAGCGACTGCTTATGTTAGTAACAGCCCCCACAGGAATTGGAAGAGACTGCCCGGCGACAGGGATGCCTTAGCCAGGAAAGCGCAGAGCACCTCTTCCGGGGGTTACTTCGCCCCTCCTGCGTCCCCTTGCTTTTTCCCCTTGAGAGAGGCAGACTTCACAAGGAAATGGCGACCTCCCAGCTGACAGAGGTTTTAAAAAATGGGGCGCATGATTTTTAGTAAAGCCCCATTGAATATTTGCCAGTATCCTGTGTACGGTGAGGACGACTCACGGCCACAAAGGCAAAGGACTAAGTGATTTCGTTTGAACCAATCTTTCCAAAGAGGGTTACAGCAAAATACCAACGCAGCCACCTACCCTCGGCCCTTCTAGCAAAACGTTCCCATTGGTTATTATTCCCCAAATTCCCATCTTCGGGAGCTCCTAATCGCCAGGACACCTGGAACTGAGTTCCATATGACTCAGGAAGACTAGATAATTAACGTGGAGAAAATGGGAATTCGAATTAGTTGCAACATAAACGGGGGAAGTAGGAGTCACCTAATCTCTCCTTGGCTTTCAGCAAATACCCTCTGGCCATTCTTCGTGCCCCTTACCCCCTTGAGTCTGATGGAGAGGGAGGGGAACTGCACCTTTTCCTATCAGATTGGTGCTCTGGTAGGAGGAACTTTGGCTTTCTTTTACCATCTTTTTTTTTTTTTTTTTTTTTTTTTTTGCAAGTGTTATATCTGAAACTGTATTTTCATCTCTTTTCACAATCACACCAACTGCACTGGAAGCTGCATACCACTATAAAAATGTATTTAATCCCAACCTTCCCATTACTCTTACATAGTAGACTCTTTTCCTTCTGTCAGCCATAGCATTTTCAACTACATAAAAATATTTTAAATGTTCGTTTTCCTGACTTCTTTCACAAGTCCCTTCATTATACCCAAATCTACCAGGTAGAATTTACATGTGACTGATAACCAACCATGTTCTATGGAGCAAATGAACAATTTACATGACACCACTTTTAAAACTTCCTAGTAAACTCCCAGTCCCCAAAGTGGTAGTTGTCAGTAAGCAAAAATTTAAATGCTCATTTAGAGAACTGTTAAAGTCTACTTATATAATGTCCAGCAGTCCACAATTTCAAAACCTTTAGAAGAGAGATCTTTGCCTGAGCGGTCTTACATAATGGGGGTAACGCCTGATTCTATGGTGGTTTCCTTATTTTCAATTCCTGCCCCCTGTTTACTGTTCCGAGGTTTTACAGATGGCTGCTGCATATGGCTGCCGCACTGGGTGTAATAATTTTGCCTGGTTATTTGACTGAGGGGGGGTCGAGAGCCAAGGGACAAAATGTGTTTTCAAACTTCCGCCTCACTTATACTGTGACTTTCACAAAGCATCTCCTTAAAAGTCCTGTCCCTTTACAAAATGCATCAAAGAGCCGGTGGAGACCAGTGAATTTTTGAGGTTGGATTTGGATTTGCATCCTCAAGGATCCCTTTCAGCGCAGAGTTCAGGGTGCCAGGGACTGCCCTGTCCTGCCTTCTCTCCTCTTGGGAGGAATTTTTATTCTCTATGAGGTTTCCACACGCTGTGGCGAGTATCTCTGAAAGCCCTCAAGAGATCTAGGGTAACTCTGTCCATCCCGTGGTGAAGACGCAATGGAAGAGATAGCGTTTTAAAAGAGATAATTAAGGTCCAGTCTTCATCTGGTTCCTTCTTCCTAGTCCTGTTTTCCACGGTAAGCCTGGAGATTTTTATTTTCCTAAAGTGTGCTCCCTTGTCCCTGTCTCCGAAGAGCGTGGGATGCTGTAGTTTTAGTACAGCCACAAATCTTTTCCCTGTCCTTGTTACTTCTGTTCTCCTGTTAGGTGAGCAACATTTTCTCCGTTCCCTTCTCTCAATCCCTAATTCCCGCCTCATCCCCCTGTCAGAGCATCTATCAACGTGGTGTGGATCGCAGCGCCGGCGGCTTTTTCTTTCATCTTCCTCCCCCTGCCTGAGCTGAGGAGCGAGTGGGCGGCGGAAAGGAGGTGGGGGAAAGACTGGCAGAGGACGGGGAGAGAGGGCAAGAGAGGAGACTCTTAGCAGATGAAGTTAAGCCGTTCGGGCAGAGTTTGCCAATTTCACACGGGCAAAAGCTTGCCTTTCAGTGGTACAAGCAGCGCTGGGTTCTTTCCCCAGGTTGCATGATTCGCCCCTCCAAGAGCGCACGGACAAACACACACACACACACACACACACACACACACACACACACACACACACACACAAGCGCGCGCGCCCCCCACCGCATCCCCCCCAAACTAGGACTGGTCCTACCAGCGCAGGGAAATGGGGTGGGGGAGGCCCTAAATCACCGCCTCCTCCTCCTCCTCCCGGTGGACTCCCTCCTCCCCACCCCTCCAGCGGGCAGCCAAGGAGAGCAGGGGGCGGGGAGGGGCGGGGAGGAGAAGCGACGCGAGTGAGCAGCTTGCAGCGCCGGCCGGCTAGGCGCGGGAGGAGCAGCGGCGGGAGCGCAGCGGCTCACCTGCGGGCAGCGCACGACCCCGCCGAGCGCCCTAGGGCCCCGGAGTCGCCCGGCGCCCCGCGAGCCACCAAGCTCCGGGGGTTTCCCTCCGGTCGGCCCCGCCGAGCCGAAGGGACGCGGCAGCTTTTTGCTTTGACAGAGGGGAGGCGTGGAGAGAGGCGAGCCAGGCAGAGAAACTCGAGCCGGGAACAAAGAGGGCTTGGTCTGTGCGCGTCGGTCCGACCTACCGGGCCGGAGCCTTTGGGCCCCACGCTCTTGCTGACTCCCGGAGACCCGCCGTGCAGCTTCTCCGCTTCCCGGCGCTCATCGGCACAAACTTTATTCTTGGCAAACTTCTCTTCTTTTTCCTCCCTCCTCCTCCGCCCCCACCTCCTCCTCCAGCAGATTAAATGCGCCACCAGAAGGAAGACCGAAGCGAAAGGGAAGGCGACCCGCGGCTCTAAAGCGGACCGCTGCGGCCCGGGCTCCTTTCCACCGTACACTCTTCAGGAAGTGACTCCTCGGCATCTCCTCATCCTCCCCGCACCTCGGCTGGGGCAAAAGAAGCCCTTGAGTCCGGCTCTCCTCTTTTCTTTACGGAAAACCCACTCGGAAATCGGAATCCGAGGAATTCACGGTTGGAGACCTTTGCGCAGTGACGCGCCACCGTCCTCTGCACTTTGGAAAGCCGTGTCCCTTCTAGGACTGGTGTCCTCGGCGCACAGACCGGGACATCGCGGGGACCTAGGTGGCCACCGGCGGGGCCAAGCAGTGGTGCGTCCCCTCGCCACCCGCGTCCGCCCCCACGCAGCCTCCCAGCTTCTCCCGCAGCGCACATCCCTGCCCTTCCCTCCTGTCCGCGGAGATTCCAGTGCCGCCGGGATGCCCCAGCTCTCCGGAGGCGGCGGTGGGGGGGACCCGGAACTCTGCGCCACCGATGAGATGATCCCCTTCAAGGACGAGGGCGATCCCCAAAAGGAGAAGATCTTCGCCGAGATCAGCCACCCCGAAGAGGAAGGCGACTTGGCCGACATCAAGTCATCCTTGGTCAACGAGTCGGAAATCATTCCGGCCAGTAATGGACACGAGGTGAGTGGGCCGCGGGCGGTACCGAGAGGCGTGGTGAGTCGGGGAGCGCGGTGGGGGTAACAGCGGGCCTCGGGGCGCACGTGTCCGCGGGGTGGAAAACAAAGTGCCCGCGGTCGGTCGCGACGGAACCCAAGTGCGTTAGACCACAGGCTCCAGGCCGAGCCCGCCGCGGGGCAGGAGCGCGCGCGTGGGCCGAGCAGGCGGGGCCGTCCCAACAGCCGAGCTGCGCGCTGGGCCGGGCCGTGTGGGGACTGCGGGGGCGACGCGGGGCCCGGTCCCCACGGCCGCCGAGCCAGCTCCGCGCCCACCGCGGGGAGCCCCCCCACCTTGCGCGCCGCAGCTCTTCCGCCCGCAGCCCGCGCGCCTAGAGAAGGACCTAGATCTAGGGGGAGGCCGGGTCGGGATCGGCCCCACCACCTCGGCAGAAGAAAGGCGAGCCGGAGCTGCGGAAGCTGGGCCGCGGCTCTGAGGAGTGACGGGTTTTATCAGATCTCCAGGCCAGCTGCGGCGTGGCGCTGGTAACCCGAGTAGAGTAAATAGAGACACGTGGGTGCCGGCCGCGTCTGTGTGGGATGGAGGTGGGATGGAGGTCGACCCCGACCGCAGACTTTCTAGCGGCCACCCTCACTCGGCACCTTCCCAGGGACATCCGGTTAAGATGTCCTGCCACCCAAAAGATTTCCCCCAACGGTTTTTCCCTCCAAAGAAACTTGGAGAGTATGCCGTTTTCCTTAAATGGCAGCCTTCAGCCCCCACCCCCACCCCAAAGACAGCGCGTGGTTTCGGGGGCGGGAACATTTTGGGTTTAAAGAGCACTTTTAAGAACACCTCATAGTTACCTTCTCTGTCCGGATGGCAGGGGTGAGTACACACTCAGGAAGACTAGGGGGCCTAGATTCCGAGGAGAATAGGGCTTTGTATTCCCAGAGTCCATTCGGAGTGAGGAGGGAGGGTCGGGTGCAGCCAAGTTCGGGTGTACCCCAAGAAGGTCGCTGGGAGAACCTGGGTCCAAAGAACCAAATACCATCCAAATGTTTTATTTGTAGAGCAGCTGTCTTGATCTTACTTAGTCTATACGTTTCCACTCATCTCACATTTTCTGAGTTTTCTTGGTCTGGGGAGAAGGGCAGTGCTTTGGAAACCGAGAACCCTAGGTTTTGGTGTTGTTAATCTGCCGCGGTGGAAGTGGGAGCCTCGGAAGATGGTGAAGGGGTGATACCACTGATTAGCACGTGGTTGAGTCGGGGCGGATGGCGGTTACCAAAACTGATATCAATTGGGTTGCCTTTTATTTATCTAAAGCCATCTCAACTTTTCCTCCGTTTAACCACAGAGCAGTCCTACTTTGGTAGCCTGCACTCAGCCAAGGACAGTAAGTTTAAGTGGATGGAGCTCCAAGATGGGACTGCTTGTAGGGCAACTTCCTTAAGACCCCAGCCAAGTGCGTTTTTTCATTTCTATTTCAAGATGTCATTTTCAGGTGCAAAGTGGTATTTCAGCTGGCATTTAATCGTCCCTAGTCGAAGTGAACAGTGGTTTGAAGAGGATGTGGAAACTGTCCAACCGTTAACTCCAGATCCTATCCATTTAGGCACCCAGGAAATTTTGATGGGTCTTGGTAAACAGCAGTTAGACTAGCACATGGGGCATCACCCAATTTGCTTTATTTTGTTGTTGTCATTCTTACCTTTTGGTCGTGAGTAGCTAATAATCACTCAAAAATACACATTGAAAAGAAAAAGATTTGCCAGTACTGACGGCTGGATGAGCTGCCTTGTTCCTAAACATCTTCCCTTCAGTTACTGACACACACACCATTACTGTTACAAACTCTAAGGTGATTTTCTTTCTTTTGGGTTGGCAATGCATGCCCTTAGGTGGTCAGACAAGCACCAGCCTCTCAGGAGACCTATCACGACAAGGCCCGAGAACACCCAGACGATGGTAAGAAACAGGTCATCTTCCTCCTGGCTTTACCATAGGACCTGAGACGTTCATTTGAATACATGGGTTTGTTTTGGTACTTTCATTTGGGTTCAAGAGGTCAGGGCCAGATAGTTAAGACTGTGCCCACCCCATTATTTTAACAAAATGGGATAGAAAACCCAGGAAACATACACATTCTCACTTTTATGTATATTACATCATTTAAACTTGGTCCTTGAATGAATTCTGGGTCTCTGAATTTCTGTTGGTTTTCGGAATCTTAGGGAAGTGGGGATGTTTCTAATGAGTATTTTGGGATTTTTCATTTATTTGCAGAATTACTGTGTTGGTAGTTTCCCACAACAGTGAGAAGGCAGGCAGTGAATGAACAAGGGGAGCCAGGCTCACTCTATAAAACAGAATCTAGCTTGTAAAAATAGAAAACAAAGGCTGCAGACATCAAATGGTACTTTCCCCTCACTTTCAGTACTTGTCAGTTTTTTGTAATCACACACACACATACACACATACACACATACACACACACACACACACACACACACACACACACACACACACACTTCTGACTTGAATCTGATCACCTGTAGGGTTAATTTGTCAATCAGGTGGCATTTCTGGTCTCCTTCAATTACTTAACAGTTGGCCTGACCAGAATGGAATGTTTGTAGAGAACTGTTCACTGAACCTACCTTAGCCACAGGTAGTTACACAGATTAAGGAAAAGGACTATTTCTTTGGCAGAGTGAGGTAAGTATAACAAATCAAATTAGGACTCAGAAGGTTAACGCATTACAAATTTGAGTTGTTACTCATAAGCTAGATACAGTAAAATCTCAAAAATTTCTAGAAATTTGAAGCATAAGTCAAATTCTGAATTTGTCTGAAAGGTAAAGTGTAGCTTCAAGTATATGAATGTGTGTGTGTATGTAGACAGCCTAATATGTTTACAGTTTAACATTTGTGTGTGTTCCCTGGTGTTTCTGTATTTTTTAGTCCAGTTTGTTAGCATTAGAACAAATTAAGTTAGATGGATAACACTTATTTTTGTAAAAACATCAATCAGTAGTGGAAGTAAATTGAACCACATGTTTTTTTAAACATCTGGTTTGCTGCTAAGCCATTTAAAAGAATAAATACTGTCAATCTAAAATAAAGCATAATAATCCAGTTACAGTATTTTATAAACAAATATTTTGTGTAAAGTCTGGTTTGTCTTAGAGGTATAAGATTTTTCCGATGAAAAATAGATATAAAAGGAAAGTGATGCATTATTGATGGTTCTTTGGATTCTCTCAGGAAAGCATCCAGATGGAGGCTTGTACAACAAGGGACCCTCCTACTCCAGTTACTCTGGCTACATCATGATGCCCAACATGAATAGCGACCCGTACATGTCAAATGGATCCCTTTCTCCACCCATCCCAAGGACAGTAAGTAACATGCTGATGTTGCAAATTATTTTCAGAAGTGCAAATTAATTCGTATTTCAACAGAATGCTTATTTTTTTCAAACACATTGAAAGTGCTTTTGTTGTATGTGTCCAGGTGTCGCTAACTAAGCGCTGTTATAAGAAATGGATGTCTTACAATAGTGCCATCTTTGATGTCTCCCATCTGTAATTTTAGTTTTAGGCTCATGGGCTAAGATTAATAACTAGAGAATCAGGAGTTATGAAACCCAAGAGAGCTAAATCAACAAAGTACTATGTTTCTATGCTGATGATGGGGAAGGTGGATTTAATATTTCAGTCAACTAAGGACCATAAGCATTCAGTGTCTTCAACTGTAGAATTAGAACTGTTCAGGCTGATTTGTAGTGAGCCATTGCTGCTATTCCTTTGGATTTTTAAAATGTCTTGTTTTATGATATTAAGCATTGTTTTTAAGGGGTGAATGAGCTACTTTTACTTTATTGTCAATTATTGAGAAAGTATCACTTGAAGATAACCTCATGAAAACTCTTCTTTTTTTCTTACTATCTTGGTTCAGTTAACTTAAAGTTCTAAAAATCCTGTGGCACATAACTACATTATGCTGGTGTACAATATGAAGAATTGCACATTGGTATTAGATGCTTTTTCTGTTTTCTTGGGAGGTAGAAATTCCATTTATGTAGTGAGAAAACATCCAAATGGTAATTTTTGGAAGATTGTGCACATGAATATGCTGAGTTCTCCCTGACAAGCACCCCTCCCGAAGTGGTTGTGGGTTTCCCCAGTATGTTGACCTCTCTCCAGCTCTACTCCCTCACTGATTTGATTTCATTCAAATCCCAACGAAAAGCACACACAGGAGACCCACTGACTCCTTGGAATGTACCTATGGTCCAAATGGAACCCATTACCTGTACTAGCTGAGAAGTCTGTCACGAACACTTGTGGGGAGGGGTGTCATTGATGCCTTCCCTAGTGACAGAATCTGAAAGCTGGGAGGCTCCGTAAAGTAGCAGGGGAGAAATGGCTGGTAACCCACAGGAGCACTCGTGGCTTTCTTGATGGCCTCCATGGTTGATGGTATATGAAGTCTGTGTGGCCTTGTGATTTAGGATTGTCATCATGTTCTATAAATTGTCCTCTCAGGTAGGGAATGAGATTTTTCTTTTTGTAAAGGGACTGAAATGGAGATCTTGGGAATCAAATCTTAGGTAATCTTGTGGCAGTCCTTAATGGGAATTGCTCTCACATACTATCATTTCAAATATTTAACAATATTTAATGTATGCATGTGGTATGTAGAATCTTCTATCTAAAAACTGAACAAATTAATAAAAGCAAATATAGTTTATTAGAGACTATGCCTAGAAGATGCTTCTGAATTTTAAAACTGGTAGAAGACTTTGTTGAGCTAGATATGTAAATATATCAGATTTATTTTTATTGTTGGGTAGGTTTTTTGTTTTGGGGGTGTGTTTTAGATAAGGAACAGTTGGAGATGTCTGTGAAAAGGCTTTTTAGGAAAAGACACTCTTTTCAATCAAGTTGTTTTGGTAATAGAAAATCACCACAAAACTGCCCAGTATATTTTAGCTGTGTACACAGTTATTTGTGGTATATTCCTTAGAAACATCAGCTTCTTCTTTTTTCAAATAGAATTCAGGAAAAGTTAGTGTAATAAAAACAGTGGTATTTATAAATAGTCCCTAAAAAATCCCTTTCTCTTTAAGCTAGCCTTCTGTCTTAGGGCTCTGCCACCCTTTCTCCTTACTCCCCCCGTCTGTTTTGGTGAAAGGGGTGTATACACGTCCACACACTTTGGAGTATTGGAGGCTGCACCTAGGCCCTCATACATTCTAGGTGACAGCTCTGCAGCAACATCCCAGCCCCATTTTGAAATGTTGATAGACTGGAACATGTGTATCCTTAATATATGTGTTAAAATAATGAGGCCAGTACGTCAGTCTGTCGTGGTCAGGAGAGATCTGTACGTGGAGAAAATGCCACCAGGTGCAGAGTGTCTTCAGGAAACAGCCGTCCTGTTTGCTGATGGCCGTGCTGTGTCTCTTACGTGTTAAAGTATATTCATTTTAGGTATGTTATATTGAGATAGTCTGCAGTTTGCACAATTCCAGAAGCTTTTCAGTTTTAACCACAAGGCTATGTCAGGTTTTTTTTTAAAGGGTCTAACTGAAGTGAGTTATAATCCCTGGTTTTTAATACCTAACAGCTGTTTGTAATGTTTCTAAGATCAAAAACACTTTAACCGGAAGGAAGGCAGCGTTTCTTCTTTGCCCTAACCACACTTTGGCTTTCTCACTCCTTCGTTCTGTCCTCAGCAGGACTCTCGGTTTGTGCACCAACATCAGTGATGACAGACTTTCCTAATAGAGGGTGTCAGGAGTTGGGTGACCATTTGGATTCGCCTTTAGGGTGGAAGCATGCCTTGGGCAACCCTGTGACTTAAATTTGCATTACAAACGATCGCTTGTTTATTGCATCTGCTGCCTAAAGACTTTGTGAGGGTCAGAGAAACATCTGGGTGGGAGAGGCACCTACCAGCTTAGTCTTCCATTGGTGTGTAACTAAGCAATGCTGAGAATTCCAGCTATGGCCATGCGGTGCACAAAGATGCTCCTGCTGGACTCTCACCATAACTGCCCTGTGTGCTGTTGCTCCTTTAAAGACTACACCGGCATATGTAGGTCCCATATGTTTTGCCTGTACGAGGCGCCATGGTACCTATTCAGAACTGTCTTTATCCATCCATCTTTTTCTCTTCTGCAAGGAAATTTTAGTTGGCAAATTACCTCCTAGAACTGGAATTTTTTAGAGAGTGAGTATCCAGACAAGAAACCTTATGAATGAGTCACTCCTGAAATTTTAAGTGGGAATGTTTAGTTCAGATAAATTGACCATCAAGAGAAAGCACCAGCATTAAGTGACAGCCCACTTGGTGTCAGTGTGAGCTCTTCAAGCACAGAAGATGAGGAGATGCAGGAGCCTGTTAAGTATTTCAGAGCCAGGACCCCAGAGAGTTTATTAAACGCATACTCCCACACCTTTCTTTTTCTGGTTTATTTGTGAAAAATCCCTGTAGGCCAAAAGTGAAATATTAAAACAACAAATAAACCCCAAATAGTTCTTTACCTCATGGCAAGTTCAGTGGAAGAACCGTATACCTGAGCGCTGTGAGAACCCTGAGCTTGGCTGTCCAAACATCTGCAAGCTGCCACTGGGGAATGCCTATGTTTATTAACATCTTGGGTGTCAGGCCTCCATCTGTCCCTTTCACAGCACAAATGGTCAACACCTTAGAGATGGAGCCTCCCGTTTCTCTTCAGACATCCAGGGAGGGGGGAACAGCAGCTGTGGAGAAAGCAGCTCAGAGCCCCCAGACTGAGGTGGCTTCCGGTCAGAGCAGCGCGGCCTTTGCCTCCAGTTCTCTGTGGTCTTCCCTAGAGTTCGTTTTTTTAGGCAGAAGGGACAATGCTCATGTTCTTTTGTCAGCTACCTTTCAATTTTTTATTTTTTAAGGTAGGAATTGCTATGAAAATGTCATGGGTATTCATTTTAAATTATTTAGAATAACTCATTTCCACTGCATGACTTTTCCTTCAGGGAATCAACATTTTGATTTCAGATGACCAGAACTGTGTCTGTTGTAATTTGGCCTTACCTCCCACCATCATATTTGTATTTGCATACAAACACCTAAGCTTTGATTTCCCAGTGTTCACATCTGGGAAAAAGGAACAGAGGTGGACTTGCCCAACCATGAAGCTTCTCAGTAGCACTGTGCCGGTGTCCCATTGCTTTGAAGCAAATCTTGAAGAATAACTCAGGGGAGAGAGACTTAGGTCTGTATCTCAAGCAAGGCTTTTAAGGAAGGGGCTCTTTGTACTGCCAGGGGCTGCTTCCTTTGATTTGCTGATGAATTATTTTCAGTTCTCTAATTCCAGTTGTTTCGTTCCTAAGCTAAGCATATTGAATTTTCCCCCTTTGCCTCAAGTATAGATAAATTTTCGAAGTGTATTCTGTGTAATATTGGTATGTGGATATCAGGAGAATGTGTGGGAAAATTCCTCCTGGGAATCCCTTGCTGTTCTATTTGATGCTTCCTGTGTGTACTGCTACAATGCTGGGAAAAAGGCTCATAGCTGAGAAGAATTCAGAGTAATTGCGGGTCCTCCCTCAGATAGCTTAGATCTCTCCTGACCTTGCTTGTACTCAAATGTCCCAGTGAGCTGTGTTCCACGTGGTCCTTCAGAGCTAATACTGCATTTACCCCCACTGAAATGATTCTGGTAGTTTCTTGTTTGTTCATAAAGACATGAGAACAACCCAAAAGATATTCAGTGACTTCATGAACTCAGGATCCTTGAACCATCCTGGGAAGGAGCCCTCCTTTGTTGCTGTGCTCCCCCGTCCCCAGCAGGTCTTTGCTTTCCTGTTATCAGCCTCCTTGCTCTGGTTTGGTCTATCCTCCAGCCAGACACCATGGAGTGATCAGCAGAGAGTTGCAAGTGAGCCCGCCCATTGGGCCTTGAACTTGGCGCTTCATAAGCATGTCAGTTGAGACTGTGGCTATTTAAAAGCTCATTCTGTTCATTCTTTATGTAGAACCATTTTGGATTTATGTGATTGAATTTTTTATATTTATTTTTATTTTATGTGTATAAGTATATTGCCTGTGTGTGTGTGTGTGTGTGTGTGTGTGTGTGTGTGTGTATGTATAAGTGCACCCATGTCATTCAATGCCTGCGGAGGACAGAGAGGGCATCAGATCTCCTGGAACTGAAGTTATCTGCAGTTGTTAGCCATCATGTAGGTGCTGGGATTTGAACTCAGGTCTTCTGCAAGAACAACTAGTGCTCTTAACTGCTGAGCCATCTCTCCAGCCCCATGATTGAATTTTTTTTTAAGCAGTCAGTTCATTCCATTTTTTTCTGATACCTTTGTTCCTCATTTACATATTATAGCTATGATTGGAATTA